GCCAATCAGATTTGAGTATAAATCTCAAAATTTGGCGCTTTTAAAAAAAATTGGATGTTTCTTGCTGTCCGGTACTACGTAATCCTCATAGCGATAGAAACGATACTTTTCTGTGATTGGTAGATCAAGTCACAAGCAAAATGGACCAATAACATGATTTGCATCAATTATCTGATTATCTTTAACTCAAAAATGTTAACGCGCACTCGAAATGTGATGTCTGTCGCCTGTACATTCTATTTAAGAGAAAAAGCAACCCTTATTCCAAAGGTGGCTTCTAAGCAACATAACTTTAGAATACGTCATTTCACCAAGGGTTTCGCCTTTCGTCATGGTTTCGTTACTCCAGTGGTTTCGTCTTTCTCTAGGTTTTCATTTCGCCAGGGTTTTTCTCCTTTCACCAATTCTAGGCTTTATCATTCGTCATTCAATAAAATAAATTCGCCTAACAGTTATACTGAACCCATTGTTGGACGTTGGTTGCTTTTATCTTCCGGGTTAGTTTTTGGTATAGTCGTAGTGGGAGGTCTCACCAGATTAACTGAAAGCGGGCTTTCCATTGTTGAATGGAAACCAATAACTGGTATTATTCCTCCGATAACACCTCCCCAATGGGAAGAGGAGTTTGAAAAATACAAGCAATTCCCAGAGTACAAATTGTAGGTAAGTCTTCGCATAATTATTAATTAACGTGTTTACACATTAAGTGTTTAATTTATTATATTTTGAATTGTCAAAGATTGAATTATCAAATGTCATTATCGGACTTTAAATACATATACTTTATGGAATGGTTGCACCGAATATGGGGACGATTGATCGGACTGGTTGTTGTTTTACCAGCAGCATATTTTGGATTTCGTGGGTACATGTCAAGACCTACAATTAAAAAGGTCGTAGGCTTAGTTGGATTACTTGGATTCCAGGTATTCTAATGATACTTAGATGTTATTATAAATAGATTTATTTTTTGAAGATTTTCGATGGAATGTTCAGGGTGTGTTAGGATGGTATATGGTTAAATCTGGATTATCTGAAGAATTAATGTCAACACCGGGTGCCGTTCCTCGCGTTAGTCATTATCGGCTAGCAGCACATTTGGGCAGTGCTTTTATCCTTTACTCAGGGATGTTTCTGACTGGCCTACAAATTTTGCGAGATTCAAAGATAGCCTATGATACTTTTCCTAAGGTGACATGAAAATAGATTATGAAATTATATTATGAAATTATATTATTAAACGTTCTTACATAATTAACATATCTATAGGAAATAGCAAAAATTCTTGCAAACCCTTCTTTAAATAGATTTCGTCGTTTAGCTATTTGCACAGCAGTGTTAATATTTTTGACCTCCATGTCTGGTAAGATTTGTTAGAAATTAATATTTAAATTACATAATAGATATTGTATTCATTTCCAATTTAAATAGGTGCTTTGGTGGCTGGCCTGGATGCAGGACTAATTTATAACGAATTTCCATATATGGGAAAAAATATAATCCCCCCTAAGTCTGAGCTATTTTCTAAATCATACACAAAGTTTGGTGAACGTGATTTATGGAGAAATTTCTTTGATAATCCAACAACTGTACAATTCGACCATCGAGTGTTGGTATGCTTATAAGTTTTTTTTCATTTTATTATGACCACTACAATATTGATTGGTAAATTCGAATTTATAGGCCATGACAACACTATGTGCGATAACAGCATTGTGGTTATATTCTCGTCGACTTACACTTCCTCCCAAAGCTCGTTTGGCAATTAATTTTGTTCTCGGAGTAAGCTACGTACAGGCAACCTTAGGAATTAGTACCTTAATTTATATGATTCCTATTCCATTAGCATCTGCACATCAAGCGGGTAGCTTAACACTTTTAACTACTGCGTTATATTTGGTGCATAATATGAGAAGGATTCCGATCAAAATATAATTTGGTTTAGTGATATGAATCTAAATCGATCAATCGCAAAGTTGATCAAGTTGGAAACTAATAGATTTAAAACTTTCGAAGCAACTAATCGTTGAATTATTATAGGACCGAGTAAAACCCACGCTGTAAATTAGTAAAATCCGTCACGTAGATCCCGTTAAGGCGGAAATCCGCGTTATGTAAAAGCGAATTTCACCCTCATGTGAGCTACATAGCGGATTTTACTAATTCATAGCGCTGTCATATTATACATATATAATAAATTTTAGAAACCTTTTTTTTAATCAATTAATACACATCATGTGATTACATTAATCAACCTTGATACATATTTTGATATAAAAATTCCGTGTAACGTTATTACATAAATAAAACTTCGGTCATGCTTAATTGAACTTTGTTTATCGCAGTATTTAAACTTGGAAATTTTATTAAAATAAAGGAACCAGAAGATTTATTTGAAACAATTTCACAAGCATTATTAAATGCAGTCGATAGAGATTGTCTAAGTGGTTGGGGTGCTGTTGTTCATATTATGTAAGTTAAATATATCTTAAGTTGAGTTCTGAAAATAATCAATGAATTAACATTTTTTGTATATAGAACTCCCGAGAAGGTGATCACTCGTAATCTTAAAGCCCGCATGGTAATAAAAATTTAAATTCTTTAATTTTGTTTCAAATAATCGTACGAATTCCTAACTTGATGTTTTATACACAGGACTAGAGTTTAGAACCGGGTTATAGTAAACTGTGTCACCCGTGTCAAAACGGTTCAACCGAGTCAAAAATTTACAACTCGGATCAAAACGGTTGAATATGTAACCTCTAACAATCGGTTACTATTACACAGAAAACATAAAATTTAACATTATAATTGTATTGTGAATAAACACCCTTTTCTCTTACTAATTTATCTAAATGTTCAATCCCATTAATCTGGATTTAAAAAAAAACCTTACAAATTTTGGAGGCTATACGGACTATCTATTGTTGCGAAAATTTTGTTAAAAATTTTCCTTTGCATAAACCTTCGTTATTTTCTTTGCTAATATGTAATACTCTTTGCTCGACACGAATGGCGTGATCGTCAATAACTCAGAGAGAACAGGAGGAACCGTCGATGTTACATGACTGATCCTTCACACAGTGTGCAACATATAAAAAAATTATTTTACAATACCAGATCATTCCGCTAGACATGTCATGATTATAATCCAACGCCATTTTTATTATAATAAAATGGTGTGGGATTATAATCATAACATGTACTAGCGGAATGATCTGGTATTGTAAAATAATTTTTTTATATGTTGCACACCGTGTGAAGAATCAGTCATGTAACATCGACGGGATCACCAACATTCCGGGTCGGAATGCATCAGAATCCTGGCCGGATGTGCCGGAATTGATTAATTTTGTCCATCACTAAAAACTTTACTAATGAAGTCATAGCCCATTCATTAAGTAAAAATGCCCGATGTAACAATTTTCAAAATCAAAAATTTTTTTTCTTTAATAAAATTACGGCTGTCCTGTCCGTACCAAAGTACTTGATTGGTCAGAACTAAGTCCTTACGTAAGTGTATGGCTCATGACTTTAATTAACAGATTCTGATCAACTTTTGACAATAATAAAAACTACCTGCTATCACAAGTATGTTGACCATTTCAAAGTATCCGATTGGTCAGAACTAATAAGTATGTTAAAAAATTTCTCATACCTGTCATGAAATGTAATCTTTATGGTGTTACACTGGAAAATTACACCGTGACGTGAACAATATGTATTTTCGATCAACGTCTTACTAACCCTATTTTGCTTTATTTCGTTTTGGATTATTTCATACTAAATTCATAGAAAATAATTATAAGATAATTAGTTAGTTTCAGATCATGATAATATCAAAGTCAAAAGAAGTTAGTAACAAGACTTATCATATAGTTTCAACAGATATATATAGCCCGACGTTTTGCCTTAATTCACGGCAGACTTGTTATTATTACCTAGATTTCTATTATTATATATTCGAGTTTCTATATTCTCATTGTTGTATTTCTTTTTAATAAAGCTCTCCATGTCCTCATACACATTAAATTAAACATCCAACCGTTAATTGACATAATGGTCTTGACCACATGACTATTATGAAGGAACTTTATGATCAATACCTATTTATTATTCAACCTTTATATGAATATTATATTGTACAGTTATTACAACAACTAGTTGTATCCTCATATATATCTAGTTGCTGTCTTTTTCAAAGCCTTAATAAACCTACTTGTTAGTCATATTTTGACATCAATACTCTCTGCCAAGTTATCAGATTATAGTCTTCATACTACAACCTACACATCTTTTAAATTTTTATAAGAAATAAAATTCAGGTATGATATTTTTGGTGATAACTATGAGATTAAAAACTCAATTGTAAGATATAGTCACAATTATTTAAAATAACTCTGTATATATTTATATTTGATCAATTTGTGCAGAGAAATAATCAACACGATCATTAATATACAATTCATCCTAGTAATGATCATCAAACTTATTGACAAATTTAAGGATTTATGTAAATTATTTATACATATTGTACTATCCAATTGTGACAGTGTCAACATCATCATTCACCAACTTTTGAATCTAGTTTTTTGTTACATATCCTGTTTATCAATACATAGAGTATATTGTCTATTTGTTTCAATATATATGACAGCTTGGAATCTTAACAGAAGAAAACTTTGTAGCTTTAATTTATATTTGTTGGTATTTACAAGACCCAGAATTCAATATACTAGCTAGATATTTAAATTAGATATACTAACAAACTACACAGTTCAATTTTAACTCTTTTGATATTTTATATAGATTTGTTGAATCGTTATCAGACTTGAAAAGCTTAGAATCAGATTTAAAACTAATTAGATTATTTCGAATACTCATACCACCCGTTAACCTGATAGTTATTGCTTCTAATATCTTAAATTACCTTCGAAATAATCAAAAAGATCTAATCTTTTTAAAAGTTAATCTATTTTTAAAAGATAGGACACAGAATCTGCAAACTTGATTAAATAGTTTTGAGAAGACTACTATAGCCAACAAATAGAATAGTAGGCAAAAACAGGATATTTTGCCTGCTTTCATATATAGAAATATTAATAAATAGTAACAAATATACTATAGGGCTATTGCTGCTACTAATAATACTAATATGAATTAAACTATTATATTGAATACGTTCAAAGTATATTTTTGTAATTAATATTAACAAAATAAATAATTAAGGAATCTGGATATTCTAAGACAACTACTTGAAGAAATGATTAATATATATTATAGCAAGTTTAAATATCTTGTGGATAGAATAGAAATAGGAGAAAATCTTCGAAATATACAAAAATTATATTATTTTAAAAAAGGTCTGTAACTGAAAATACCCCTATTATCTTGATACATAACCCAAACAATTTAGCAGGTATCTTTAAGCTTGCTTATACTCATGAGCAAAGTACTGATTTTGTATTAAATATCGACCCTGATCGCCCTAAAAAATCAAAAGATTATAACAAAGAAATTAAACAATTAACTAAGTAGTTAGAACAAATAACTCTAAATTATACTACTATTGTGCAGCACTTATTGCGCAAGCTGCATTAATGAATACACATGAGCCTAGAGTATCTTGTCAAAGAATAAATTTGCAAAGAAATCTTAATATTATATGTTTCAGGTATAGTAAATATGATCACTATGCTATAGATTGTAGTTTGGAACTATTACTATTTAAAGATCAGCATTATTAAAATTATATATAGATAATCTAATAATATAAATCGAAATAGAGATATTAATTTCATTAAAGCTAAGTATGATAGTAGAATAAAGAAGGAAGAAATTTATATAGCTTGACATTAGCTATATAGTACCAATTGAAAAGAGCAAAAAGAAAAACAAGCAAAAATACACTTGCAAAAAATTGTATCTAAATCTTTTACTACAGTACTAATAAATATAGAAAATAATCTTACTCTCTATTTTTTAAACAAATCATTAATAATAATTATGCTCTGTAATTGATAAACTTATCTTATATGATATATTAGAAAATATATTGAATATGCAAGTACATACTATGTGTGGCCAGTTGTTATAGTATCCAAATTAGCATTGTAATTTAGCTAAAGTGATAAAAAAAACAAGAACATTTAGTATAGAGATTAATTATTTACAAACTAGTGACAAGCAAAAACTGTTGCAATATATTGTTATGTGTATATTAGAAACAACCTAGTAGTTGCTATCTTAGATTCTAATACTATTGTTAGTATTATTACTAGTTGATTAATAGACAAACTCGGTCTAACAATCAATAAGTCTTCCAATATAGTAATAAAAACAGTGAATGAAAGTCGAACTAAAGCCTTAGAAATAGTTGGTGATATTCATATAACTTTACAAAATATTGTAATATTTGTTGATTTACAAGTTATTAAGTTACAGAAGGAAACTTTATTATTAGAACAGATTGGTTCAATAAGTCTAAAACTAAGCTAGATTTTGATAAAGAAATATTGCATATAAGATATTTAGATAGACAGGCTACTATTAATACAATACATGTAAGTAATAAACTTATCGAACAAGAATTTGAAGAATTTACCAATGAAAAAAAATAGATCAATAAGCTTGAAAACAATAGTAAAAAAATCTACAAGGCTTTTTATATCAACGAATATGTCTCAGAAAAAGAAGAATTATATTATCCCTTAAACTGTATTCCAGGCAAATTTACCTAGAAAATTTAATTGTATTTAGTATTTTTTAAATAAAATAATAATTTATTAATGATATGAGGTATATATTTATTATAGA